TGTCATCTCACATACTTGATACGTGGGTACTCTGAACTGAAAACCAAATGTGGATTATTTTTCTGCCAGGGATTGACTGAGGGAGGGGGAATTGGGCAGTCTCAATAGACTTAAGTTTAGCTGGAAAACAGCATCATGCTCTGTATTTATTTATTTATTTTGGTACCAGGTATTGAACCCAGGGGCATTTAACCACTTAGCCACATCGCCAGCCCTTTTAAAATTTTATTTAGAGACAGGGTCTTGCTAAGTTGCTTAGTGCCTTGCCTAATTGCTGAGGCTGGCTTTGAATATATTAATATATATATTTAAAAAATTTTTTTAGTTGTAGTTGGACACAATTTTATTCTATTTAATTAATTTATTTTTATGTAGTGCTGAGGATGGAACCCAGCCCCTCACATTTGCTAGGCAAGTGTTCTACTGCTAAGCCACCACCCCAGCCTCATGAATATATTTATATTATTGGTACTAGGGATTGAACCCAGGAGTATTTAGCCACTGAGCCACATTCCCAGTCCTCTTTTTAAAATTTTGGGATGGGGTCTGGCTAAGTTGCTGAGGTTGGCCTCAAACTTGGCAATCCTTTTCTGCCTCAGCCTCCAAATTGATGGGATTACAGGAGTGTGTCACCATGCCCAGTTTAAACATTTTAAAGAATAAAAATGTTTCAACTGACTTTGAACACCACTTTATATGAATGGTGCTTTATGATTTAGGCCCTCATAAATTCACTTAATCTTCATATTAATGCCTTGAGGTACATACTGTTTTCTATATTTTTTAAATGGAGAGAATGGCGTCCAAGGGCATATATTTAGCCACATTATGAAATCAACGTCTCCCAATTCCCTATATCCTCCTCAACCCCTCCACAAAGTAGTCTGAGAATCTGCCACTCAAAGGGGCTTAGATTCTCCTCTGAAGGAAAAGGGCAGAGGTGACTCAAAGGACACAAATACAGCTAAGAAACTGGACTGTTTTCTGTAGGCAAGGATGGGTCATAGTCTGATCATGTTGCAAGTTTTATTTTAAAGAGTTCTGAGCTGGGCGCAGTGGTGCACACCTGTAATCTCAGTGACTCGGAGGCTGAGGCAGGAGGATTGCAAGTTGAAAGCCATCCTCAGTAATTTAGTGAGACCCTATCTTAAATAAAGGAGGGCAGGAGGCTGAGGCTGATGGATTGAAGGTTCAAGGCCAGCCTTAGCAACTTAAGCCATTAGCAACCTAGCAAGACTGGAAGTGAAAAATTAAAAAGGGCTGAGGATGTAGTTCAGAGGTAAAGCACCCCTGAGCTCAATTCCTAGTACCAAAAACAAACAAATAAAAATAAAAAATGGGATGGGTAAGTTGGGGATGTGGCTCAGTGTTTTAAGTGCCCCTGGGTTTACAATCCCCGGTACCAAAAAAAAAAAAAAAGGTTCTGAGTAGGAAATGATAAGGATTAGATAATAAGTATTCCCCAGAAGCTCACGTGTGAGACAATGGAAGAACATTCAGAGGTGAAATGATTGGGCTATAAGCTCTTTAACCTAATCAGTGAATTAATCCTGTGGTGGGGATTAACTGGGTGGTAGCTAAAGTTGGGTAGGGTGTGGCTGGAGGTTGGCATTGGGGGGCATGCCTTTGGGGTATATTTTGTATCTGGCAAGTGGAGCCTCTGCTTTCTGATCATCTTGTGAGCCACTTCCTTCTGCCACATTCTTCCATGATGTTCTCCTTTATCAAGCCCTGAGGAATGGAGCTGGCTATCTGGACTGAGACCTCTGAACTCATAAGTCCCCCAAATAGACTTTTCATCCTCTAATTGTTCTTGTCAGGTCTTTTGGTCACAGCAGCAAAAAAGCTGACTAAAACATGGCTTTTGGGCATAGGAGAGAACAAAAGGAGGGAAGGATCATGATGTACAGGATATGGAAGGGGGAATAATGTGCATCTGGTGGCCTGTGGGTAGGGATATGAGACTCTGTAGACTGGTTGCATTGTATGAGTATTACATGTGACTCTTTTGTAGCCTGTTTAAAAAGCAGTGATATGGAGGGATCAGTGTCGGGCTGGTGGCCAGTTTAAGCTTTTAGGCAAGAAAGATACTTTCAGAGAGGTACACTGTCAGTTTTTAATACTTGAGTACCTTCATCTGAGCAATTCACTCATGTGATCGTAGAATTGGCTTTGTTTGGCCCATTTTCTGCATCCTGGCTGTAGGAATAGAACATGAGGATGGCTGAAATGTTAGATTTAACTAGCATCATCTTATAATTATTTGTTGATTTAAACAAATTGATTTGTTGAGAAAACTGAAGAGTGATCATTTGTTTAGAATGTACCTTGGATGGAGCAGTGGCATACTGTGCATAGAGGACAGGCACTATGGGAGCCTTGACTTAGAATTCTAGAAGTGTGAAGTAGATTTATCCCCACCCACTACTACTCACTAGACTTCTAGTCTGCTGGAGATACATTTACAGTGCTGAGGGGACCTAGAGTAGCTGTTGATGGGAGAGGAAGGAGAATGGGGTAGGATCCTCAGAGGAAGCATTTAGTTAAAGAACAGCAAACCTGATGCTTGTTTTTGAGAGTCAGAATGCTTAGGGGCTGTATGTGGTAGGAGATGTAGAGAGAGAAGAGCTCAAGGTGCTGTTTATAAGTCCAAGAATACAGCTGGATGTTGGCTCTCCCACTTACTGGTTGTGTGCATGTGGGAAAATTATTTTCCTGAAAGTAAAAGCTTTCAGTTCAGGGATGTTTGAGATCTGTTATAGAATGAGTGCATGGAAAGATGGAATTTCATTCAGTATGGCAAAAATAAAATCATTCTGCCTATGCCATAAGTGTTTTTCTTGTGCCTTAAGTTAATATAAAACAAATGGTTTATGCCCAGACAACTATTTTATGGCTATTTTGGTTTGTACTCAATTTTGACAAAACCTTTCTTCTTACCCATCTGGACAGAAACTAAAGCTGCAGAGTGGAGAGATAACAAAGGAAGAGAAGCAGCCTGCGTCAGCCCAGTCTACCCCAAGCAGCAGCCCTCAGTCTTCCCCCAAGCAGAGGCCCAGGTGAGCCCTTCCTGCGACCCTTCTAGGCCTCAGCAGGCTTCCGCTTGGGGAAAGCTGGTGCTCAAAGCTGGATTTAAGTCTGTGGTTTCACAGTGAGAAGTGCTCGCTCACAATTCCCTGGTCTTTTGGTGGGAGATGACTTTTGAAGGTGCAGGAAAAGGATATATTAGGATGCTTTGTTTTTGCTCTTCCAGAGGCTGGTTTTCTTCTGGTTCCTCTGTAGCCTTACCTGGTCCAAGTCCTAGCACCATGGATCCTGGAAGTGGAGATAAGGATAGAAACTCATCAGATAAATGGAGTCTTTTTGGTCCAAGACCCCTTCAGAAGTCTGATTCTGGTAGGCAGCTCTGTCAAAAAAGAAAGCAATATGGCAGGCATATTGATGTACTATATTCGGGGCATGGACTATGGTTCTGCAGTCATTTATTCTTTGGTTTACTTTTGTAGGAGGTTTTACCATCCAGGCCTACAAAGGCGCCCAGAAGCCCTCTCCCATGGAGCTGATCCGTGCCCAGGCCACCCGAATGGCTGAAGATCCAGCAACCTTCAAGCCACCCAAGATGGATGTCCCAGTGATAGAAGGGAAGAAACCACTGCCGCGGACCCATAATCTCAAACCGCGTGACTTGAATGTGCTCACACCCACTGGCTTCTAGAGTGTGTCTATTCCAGGGACTTGGGCTAGAGGGTTTCTTGTCCTTTATTCCCCTTTTACCTTAGCTCTGACATAGGAATGGTATATTAAAACAAACAAAACTGAGGCTAGAGGTGGAGACATAATTAATTCTGAGAAACATCAGTGCAAAGCTTGTCCTTGTGTGGAAGAAACCATTTTGTAGTGTTTTAGAGTCAAACTAAAAATCTCAGCAGTGATTTTGCGGGGAGGACTTCATTACCCTTTCTTATCATTTACCCCAGACCAGGACTTTGATCATTGCTTACTAGGTAAATGTTTATGCTATTCCAAAACCTAGGCTTCTTTTTACCACCATCAGCATAAACACACCATGGTGTAGAGGTGTCTGCTGACAAGTTTGGCCTTTTTGACTCTGCTGATGTCAGGTAGGGGGACCTAAGACCTGTTTAAGGTCTGGGTACAGTTAACAGCCACACTTCGCAGGGACCCCTATTTTCTAGGCTAAAACTGATCTCCTTGCTTTTTGGTCAGTCTAATGGATTGCTTTGTCCTGTAATCAGTTCTTCATGCTTCTTGGTACCTCTTGAGCTGCTGCTGTTGGAAGGATGCTTCTCATTTACATGTCACAAAAAAACACTAGTCTTGCATATCCTTTCTTGCACTTTAAAGATTACAGTAAGATTAGTTTAACTCCAATTTGGTTTAAACTTCCTAAAATAAAAAAATTAAGTCTATTGATTTGAGATATATTTTGTGGTGCTGGGGATTTAATCCAGGGCCTTGTACATTCAAGGCAAGTGCTCTACCATTATTGAGCTATACCCCACTCCCTGCCCTAGGATGGTAAACTTTTAGAGTAAATGAAATTCATTTGAAATTAGTGTCAATTATTTCAGTTTCTTTGTATAGGTCAGGGCTTAACTTTTTGGAGGAGACATGGATATATTCAAAATAAGAAAAGCATTTTTCACCAAAATGAGCCTCATATCTTTATGCAGCATATCTTAGAAACTGCATTTTTATTTCTCCTCATTTTGTACATTTGTCTTGAACACTGTCTCAGATACTTGCCGTTTTTGTTTTGGTTAGGATTTTTGTTTACATAAGAAGCTGACCTTCTTATAGAGAAGCCTTTAAGTCTAAAATTGTCAGAACAACTAATTTATTTGTGTCTTCTCTGTTATGATCTTTTGTTTGGACAATAAAGATCCTTATTGTTTTCTCAAATGTGGATATCTTTCGGTCCTGTTAACAATAGCCATCTGCCTACCCAGTCATGGAACCTAAGCATGGTAAACTTGGTATTTTGAAAAACCATTGCCTTTTTATTGTATCTTTTTAACATCAAATGTTTTATAACACACTCTATCCTTCTGTTTCTTTGTCCCCTTTTGTTACATTAGATCTTAATAGACTGGCCACAAAGTCAAATTCATAGGCAATATAAAAGGTCTAATAGATAATGTTAGGAAAAACAAATGTTTTTCCAGAAACAGGCTCTCAGTTACTTGAATAACACTGACATACAGTTTGTTCATCAGAGGGATTCTTCTCTCTCACATCTTGAATGGAAATGTTAAACAGAGTGCATATAGTGTTACCTGTTTCAAAAAAAGTATAGATAAATAATTTATTAAAAAATATATACACCTTGTATATTTAAGCCATATTTGAGAATAGGCCAGGATAGGATTATCAAAAAAAGAGAGAGATGCTAAAGAGTCAGAAAGTGACTACAGCCTACAGATAAATAAGATAGGTTTGGTCCTGCGAGATTTTTACTACTGTTCATACTTTCGGAGCTTTTAAGTAGTTGAAGACAAGTTCAAGAGGTATTCTTGGTGCTCAGTGCTTAGAAGGCCCTTAGGGCTGCTCTAGTGCTTCGGAGTAGGCTCTGTGTCAGGGTTCAAGTCCGCAGCATAGAAGAGCAGAAGCTTCAACAAGTGCACTTTGTCTTGCAGTTGAGGGACCAGAGGCTCCCCCAGCATCTGGATTAAGCGACTGCGGAAGGCCTCAATCTGCTTCTCCACATCCACCACTGTGATGTCATCTCCTTGTTGGGGCTTGGGCTTAATCCTTTTGATTATTAAGTCTTTTCGATCAATCACTGAACTCCGTAGGTGCTCTGCAAGAGGGAAGAAATCAGTGAAACTATACTGCTTTTTATCTCTCTCTGATTAAAAAAATGAAGTCCAATATTAGGTAAATTCCTGTTGCCTAGTTACTGGAAGACAAGTCAAAAGGCTATGTAGATTACTACGGCAACCCCATTTCCAAAAGGTCCTGTATTTTTGGTTTACTCTGATCATCAAGAAGTTTTTTTTTTTTTTTTTTTTACATATTAAAAAAATTGCATTCTTTTTATCTTTTTCCTTTTGATTTAAACTATAAGCCTACATGAAATTACATTTTAGATATTTCAAATTTATACACAAGACATTTTTGAGACAGGATCTCTCCTACAGTGGGGAGACCCCTCTGGGTGGTGAGGGGATACTAAAGTGGAAATTGAGGTGTTAGTATGAACATGTATAATAAATTTATAAAATTATGTAATTTACTGACAGGGTCTAAAAGCAGAGACACTCTAGTAGCAATCATAATTTAAATCCTAGCTTCCATACACATTCTCCACTAAAAGCAATCAATTTTTTTTTTTTTTGAGAAAGACGTTCTGAGACCAAGGCAAGGTAACCTGGAACACCTTTTGTGAGAAAGGGAATGTTTAAAATTAATGGGGAGGGGCTGGGGTTGTGGCTTAGTGGTTGAGAGCTTGCCTTGCATGTGTGAGGCACTGGGTTTGATCCTCAGCACCACATAATATAAATAAAACAAAGATAAAAAGATGATGGAGACCTGTCAAAAGCAACCTAAAGGAGGTTCTTATTGGCCAAATTTTGGACAATGTGATCAGAAAAAAGGATGCCAAAAAATGAATTATTTCAACACACTGAATTTTAAAAAGTCCTGAGTGCACAGTAGAAGTTTTTAAAGGGAGCCCTTTTTCCAGAAGAAGGTTAAGAAGTATAGAAGAAAGTAGAACTAGAAAGTTTGCCACTTTTCAAACTACTAATATGAGTCAAGTAAGAACCACAAATGGATGCTAAAACCAAGTGAAAGGCTGACAGGATATTCATAGTCTCAAAAGTTTCACCCTCTACTAATAACAAAGGGAAAATAAATCCTGTCTCAGCCTCCTGAGCTGCTGGGACTACAGGTGTGTACTACTATGCCCAGCTTGCCCTTTCTATTTTGAGACAAGGTTTCACTAAGTTGCCCAGGCTAGTCTTGAATTTGTGATCATCCTGCCTGTTGGGAGCTGTTGAGATTATAGGTGTATATGTGACTGCCCTGCATGACATTGCCTTTTGATGTCATGTGCAAGATTTCTTAGATTTTACTATTTTTATTAATTTTTTTTTTTTTTTTTTTTTTTGAGACAGGGTCTTGCTAAATTGCCCAGGCTGGACTCGAACTTGTGGGCCAGCTTTCTGAGCAGCTAGGATTACAGGTGTGCACCACCATGCTTGGCTTGCTAATAGATTTTTAACATGAATCTTATTGTGAGAAGATATTAAGACAATCCCAATTACTGAACATTCTACAAAATAACTGGCCTCAACTCTTTAAAAATGTCTGTTGAGCTGGGCACGGTGATGCATGCCTGTAATCACAGCTACTCAGGAAGCTGAGGCAGGAGGATCATAAGTTCAAGGACAGCCTTAGCAACATAGTGAGGCCCTGTCTCAAACAAAACAAAACAAAACAAAAAAATAAGGCTGGGAATGTCGTGCAGTGGTTCAATTCCCACTAACCCCCCCCCAAAAAAAAAAAAAAAAAGGCTGTTATGAAGGACTAGTAAAGGCTGGGAACTCTGTGATTGAGAGATTGAAGGAGATCAAGAGTACGACTACCAAGTACAGTGCTTGATACTTGACTGGGTTCTGACTCAAAAGTAATCATCTACATATGATATTATGGGACATTAGATAATATTCTATCAAGAATCAGTTTCTTGTGATAATTGTGAGTGTTATGTAGAAGAATATCTTTGGAGATTCAAGCTGAAGGATTTAAGCAGGACTATGATAGTACAACTTATTTTCAACTGTCTCAGTTCTCTCTAGCCAAAGTGTAATCATTAAGCCACCTGTGGCCACATGTTAACAGCTGGTGAGTCAAGAAAAAGGGCGTAGAGGGTGTTCATTATACTATTATTTTAAATTTTCTATAGGCCTGAAAATGAAAATACTAAGGAAAATAAGAAGTTATAAAGGTATCTCATTCCACATCCACAGGCCAGCTCCAATAGTTCTGGAAGTATGTGGAATTGACACAAAGGAGTTCAGGGTCACATATAAAGCAAATGCACTGAAGAATTCTGAGGACTTTATCATGACTCCCAGATGCACCAAAGTAACTCCAGCATCATTTTCTCAGTCTCATTTATTTTATAAATAAGCATAATCCCAAAAGGACTGAATAGTGTTTGGAAATTAAGAGAATAAACTTACTATTATTATTTTTTAGTACTAGGAATTAAATCCAGATGTGCTTTATCACAGAGCTACAACCCTAACCCTTTTTGTTTTGATACAGGGTCTTGCTAAATTGCTTAGGGCCTGGCTAAGTTGCTGAGGCTGGCCTTGACCTTGTGATTCTCCTGCCTCAGCCTCCAGAGGTTCTGGGATTACAGGTGTGAGCCACCACATGGAACAGAATAAGTTCATTTTAAGCAATATATTTTGTTACATTTTCGATTAATATGCTCAATATATTTCTCATCAACTTTCAGATGAAAGCACTTAAAAGTCTAGATTTATACCAGTAAGTCTAATTACTGTCTGAAAAGGAAGTATAATAAATATATTACAGTGTGTCCAAGATCTGGAAACAGAAAACAATGTTGCTTTTAGATGTAATTATAGGGCCCTTTGAACATTTAAGCAACAAAAATTTACAGTGAGAACCTAGTTTCTGGAACTAGGCTAGACTGCAGGGACAGTGGAATCAGACCAGCTCTGTGCACTTACATTCTAGTCACAGGAATCCTGAGAAGGAATAAACCCACAAAAATAATTATAGATTGACATGAGTACAATTAAAGAAATAAATTGGATGCTGTGATAAAGAGTAATAAGAGGGGTGGGATGGAATGAAAGTAAGCAGTCTACTCTAGCCAGGAAGGGCCCTTGAGGCGAGTCCAGAAGGATGAGATGGAGGTAACTATGTCTACGTCTAGGGAGTGTGCAGTCCAGGTAAACAGCAGAGCAAGTGCAAATGCCCTGAGGCAGGAAAAAAAAGCTTGCTTTGAGAACTGGAGATCAAGTCAGGGACATAGAAGGGAGTAGTAGGAGGGAGATGGCATTGGAGGGTAGGCTGGGCTATGTAATAAATGTGGATTTGTCCTTGGGGAGTATCTAGAGGGGTTTACTGCAGGGTTTTAAGTAAGGAAACGTGATCTGTTTCACTTTGCTACTGGTGGAGAATGGTCTTAGGAGGACAACAGCCTTCTGGTAGAATTTGATTTTCTTAAACAAGGCACGGCTACTCTGACAAATCTAGCAATGGTTTTTGAAAAAGATAGAAAGAAACATTGACTGAATAGGGTGAAACAGGGAAGACCAATGATGTGAGCAAGAAAAATGTGGAGTTTATTATTAGAATAATGCTCATTAATGCCCATCTAAGCACTGCCCATGGGGGAGGAGGAAATGTTGGCCGTTCTGGTCTATTTGGCAGGGCCTTGGATTTTAGGCCTCAGTGGGTATGAACGAGTTCTTACGTCACAGGGTGCTCACTACTATGTGAAGCAATTTATGTAATGGGTTGAGCATAATTCCTGACTCAAGTTGTTTTAGCTGAAAGTATTGTTATTAGTTACTGGATCTATAGTGGAGTTAGCTATTATTATTTTATCATCAGCACCACCACTAAGAATTTCTAACTTAATACACCAAACTGAATTCTTATCTTTCCTGCAGATTTTTCTCGATTTTCAATGATGGAAATTTTTCTCTATTTTCAGTCCTGGAAATCATATTCAAGCCATCAAGCCAATCTTCAAAGAATTTCGGTTGCACCTATTGCCTTACTCACTGCACTACCCACACCAGGGTCACTTTGGCAGAATTTGCCACATACCAGGCAGAGTGAACACTGAAATTTACAGATATGATTATGATATTCCCTTACCTGAAACCACCTTGACATTTCCTGACTCTTGAAATTAAGTGGAATTTCCTCAGCACGACTCAGAAGGCCCTTCATATGCTGTCCCTTGTAGTTTCATCAAGGATTGTTCTGCCCTTACTCACTAAAGCCCAGCCCTACAATCGCTAAGTAACTTTTTGCCTTGGAGTCCTTAAACATGCTCTTCCTTCTTTCTGGAAAACTGTACCATTCCCATTTGGCCAATACCAGTACAGGCAGCTCTACATATCTGCAGCTTCCTTACCTGATGATTTAACCATTAGTGGACTGAAAATATTCAGAAAAAGGTGTGCTTGTACTGAACATGTAGACTTTTCTTTCTTGTCCTTATTCCCTAAAAAATGTAGGAGGATGCATGTAGGATATATGTTAATACTACACCACTTATATAAGGGACTTGAGCATCCATAGATTTTGGTATCCTTGTGGTTTCCTGGAACCAATCCCTTAAGGATGCTGAGGGATGACTGTACTTCTCATTACAGCTATCACTTCTCTAGGAAGGCTTCTTAGGTTCCACGAAAAATAGATAGTATTCCTGTTCTGTGCAGTTGCACTTTCCTTCACAGAATTTATCTTAATTGTACTTAAATGTTACTTGTGTGATTATTTATTTAGCTTCAATCTTCCCACTAGACAGTAAGCTCTGTGAGGGCAGGAGCTATGTTAGTCGTCTTTTTCACTGAGGTTTTCCCAGTAAGCCAGGCACAGAGAATGCATTCATATCTGTTGCTTGGATGAACGTATGAATTTGAAACGATCTGGCCTGCTTCAGCTTTTCTCCCCTCTGTGGACAGGAATCTCTGCAGGAAGCCTGTATGTGATTCTCTTCAGGATGACTGGTGACTGAGTTTTGTGGGATGCTCTGCCTAAGCTGTCCAGCTGAGTGGCATTAAAGATATTGTTTAAGTTCCTAGGACTCATACTTTCAAAATATGAGGTTTTGAGTAGTCATAAATATTAGGAAAACTCCCATGACAGATAGCAATTTATAATTTTGCTGAGTCTCAAATGAGTGACATGGCAATGAAACTGGGGTTTGGGGGATGGATTTCCTTAGCCAGAGAATGCAAGCCCAACTGACAGCTCAGTAACTATGTCACAATAAGGCTGCTCTGCTCAAACATTTGCAAAATAGCATTTTGGGGCATACTGCTCTCCAGGTCCATACAAAATACGTTACAAAAGAAATAATTACATAAACCTCAATGAGGCTAAGTATTCAGGGAATTTGCCTTTGGGACTTTGTTCGAAGAAAGATATGCACCTACAATACTGCTAAAATCACACAAAGTATACAACTACATATTTCAGCCTTCACAAGATACCCTTTGAAATTTTAGTCCTAAGAATCTGAAACAAGAGAAGATCCTTGTAGTTTAACCCTGGCCAGGCAAATAGGCATATTGAGATTCAACTTATAATGACTGAACAGTTACCATTTTTTCCTCACACTCTTGAATGCAAGTTACATAGTATCATCCCCATTCTACAGAAAAAGAAACCAAAGCCTCAAGACATAAAGTTAGCTGCCCAACACACAGTAAGGGCTAAAGACAGAATCTTTTTCTTTTGGTATTTGTGCTTTACCACTAAGGTATATCCTAGAGTTGGGATCTAAACCCAGACTGTTGTTGTTGGTTTTTTTTAAGATCTAAAAAATACTTTATTTATTTATTTGGTGCTGAGGATCAAATCCAGTACCTCACATGTGCTAGGCAAGCACTCTACCACTGAGCTACAACTCCAGTCCCCAGAAGTTTTTAATCTAGTGCTATTTTTGGGGAAAAAACCAATTTCTATATTTCCAGTTCTGGGCCTGAGAAGGTCTAAGGTCCTCATTACTTTCATGTGCCCATTACTGAGTTAAAGTCAACATTAACATGATCATAACTAAGCAAATTTTATATGTATGCATCTTTCCCTTACTATTGGAGAATAATTAGTAGATACTGTGTACAGTGATTCAGTATGGATTCCCTAAAACCAATGACATTTACTATCAAAATCTGGTACAATTTTCAGAGACAAGAAACTTAATATAATACTATTATTTAATCTCTTCAAATTTCTACAATTGTCCAAATAATGTTTTTTTTTTTTTTTTTTTGGCTAGGGATTAAACCCAAGTTTTGGCGCATGCTAGGCAAGCGCTCTACCACTGAGCTAGATTCCCAGCACTTGATCCAGTCTAGAATCATGTATTGCATGTAATATTCATATGATTTAGTTTCTTATTCATATTCTTTAGTTTTTAAGACCTTGGTACATTTGAAAAGTACAGATTGTTATTCTGTAAAAGGTCCCTCCATCTGATTTCGTCTGATGTTTCCTTGTGATTAGATCCAGGTCATGGATTTTTGGTAAGACCACTGAATATGTGATAATATGTCCTTTCAGCCCAACACATCCAGGAAAAATGTCAGGTTTCTCCCCTTTCCAGTTTTCTTTTATACAAAAAAATAAAATTCAGCAGTTCTTTTATTTTCCCAAGGTCTTCTATAATCTTTGGGATAACAAAATATTTCTCATTTGAAATAGCTATTCCATCATTATCCTTGTCAACATTCACCTCCTGAGTGTCACGTGGATCTTTCCCAAGATCCTTGCCAAGCACTGGCTCATCTGTGACTTGAGTTTCTATGAAGAGCAAGTTTTATAGGCTAACATTGGGATATGTTGCATCTTTTTCAAGATGTACAGGTCCACCTTGCCACTGGTTTGCTCTGTATTTGCCTTGTATTGACAATCAGTGAACAACCAACCCAACAAAGACCTTGCAACAAGACAGCAGAGTCAGATGTTAAGGCTAATCAACTTTTCAGGATATGATGACGTCTGTCTTTATACAGCCATATGACTAGAAAGCCCACTGGACTATCAGCCACAACAAAAACATACAATTTTCCTATTTCACTGTAGTGATTCCAGATATGTGATTCAATGTCCCTTATGGTTACAACCCAAAACAATATTTATTTAAGTGAACAAATCAGAATTCTCTGAGTAACTATCATTCATAATCATGTTGATTGTGAGCTCTCCCACAATACCTTTTTGTGAACAAGTGCTCCTTACCTCTTAAAACATGTTGATAACTGGACAACAGAAACTGCAGATGCTCGACCAGCTCATCCCAAGTCTGCCACTGGGTTTTATCTGACTGCAGAGATAATAAAACAATTGGTAATAAATGCTTCCCCCATTAATGTTTTTGTACAGTTTTCAAGTCCCTTTTACACAATGTTAAACAATGCCACAAACTAAAATCCCAAGGGTGGGGTTAGGGAAAAGGTGTACTAGGCCTGTAATTGAAGGAAAAAAAAAAAAAAAAGAAAGAAAAGAAACATACCTGACACTTGAGTAGTGATGTGGAATTGTTCAGAAAATAGAGGGCCTGGGCCAGAGACAAGGGCAAGCGGGTGGGTGTCTCGCAGCTGTGCAGGAATATGATTTCTAACACTTTGCAGCGCAGAAGGTGGCTTTCCATGGTAGTAAAGAACATCTCTCTGTGTGGAGAAGTGGAAGAGGGAGTTAACCATCACAATTATATTTCAAAGAACATATACCACAATTCACCCTGAATGTTTTAACACTGTCCTAAAAAAAGACAGCTGAGGGAATACAATGGAGACCTACATAATCACAACGCCTATGGACAGGACAGACATGGATTTGTTTATGAATTAATGAGTGCCAGTAGGAGGGAAAGTCTGACATTTAAAAAAGACAAGTTTAGGACACATTAAAAAGAATTACATCACACTGTATGAGAATAAATATTTCTGAATGCCTGTAATGTACCAGATAGTGTTTGCCCCAAGAAAAAATTCTAAGATAAAGGCAGATAATTATTCTAAAAAAGTTGATAGTTGAACAGAGCAAGAGGTGTGCGACAGGAACTCAGCATGGGCCACGTACACATGTATGTGAGCTGTGAGTATCGCCCCAGGGACACAGAGAAGAGAGAACACATTTGGTTAGGGGACCAGAAGTCTAGAGGAGGATATACTGAAGGAGTGGTCTAGGAGGAACAGATTCAAGGCAGGAGGCATCAAAGGAGGGAAAAAAAAAACACAAAAAAACACACGCAATGAGAAAAAAGCATAGAGCTGTGGCACTGTGCCTTCATAAATTTCAGTAGGACTTGGAGAGTCCCAGAGGGACCCTTGCCCTCGGCAAGGTTCACTGCAGTTTCACAGCAAAGGTGGACTGGATACCTTTAGAAACTTCTGAGCAAGGGAGTGACAAAACAAGCCGTTTCAGGAAAGTCAATCACACTTATTGTTTTTAAAGTAGTCAGCTTCCCAAAAGGGCTCTGGATCCTAGGTACACAGATGCATTTCTGGGCTGACTGAAGCTTTCTGGTTTGTTTGGTAGTCCTTGCCAGTTTCTGGAAGGCAGACAGCTTGAGAACAGAAGAGAAGATGGCAGCAAGAAGTGGTGCTATGCATGATAAGTGGTGTGTGATCCTGACTGCAATCCCAGCTACTTGGGAGGCCGAAGTGGGAGGAACCCTTTGAACAGAAGTTCAGAGTCGGCCTGGGCAACAGAGTGAAACCTTGTCTCAAAAAAGAAAACAAATTCAATTTTGCATTTTAAAATTTCCCTTACCTTTGTCTTCTACCACACACACACATATTTGTGCAAAACAGAGTTTAAAAAGAAGAATGAATACTTTCAACCTTTGCTTCTTACTTCAAAACTTTCGAAGACCCTAGAATATTTTTGAAAATCCATCTCATCTCTTTAACGGTTTCCTATAATTTTCTACATCTTCTTTCATACACAGAAGCCCATATTATTGTATTTGTATATTTGCAAGCTATTCCTCAAATTCTTTTAAGGTGTATATTATTTTGCTCACAAGACAACTTTCCTATTTAATAACCTTTTTTTAAAATATTTTTAAATATCTTTATTTTTATGTGGTGCTAGGATTGAACCCAGGGCCACGCATGTGCTAGGCAAGCACTCTACCGCTGAGCCATAATCCCAGCCCCTAATAACCTTTTATTTTGAAGTGCATTTTCTTATCCAATTTTTATGCCATAGCCTGCGAAAATTTTGTCCTGGCTTACCACCATTTGGCCCAGTTATCCCACTCCTCAGCATATACCCCATGGACTTAATTAAAATCAGCATACTATAGTGATGGCGGCCACATCAATAGCATTTATAGCAGCTCAATTCACAATAGCTAAGCTATAGAACCAACATAGGTGCTCTTCAACAGAAAAATGGATAAAGAAAATGTGGTATATATACACAATGGAATATTACTCTGCCATAAAGAATGGATGAAACTGGAGGCTATCATGCTAAGTGAAATAAGCCAATCCCTCAAAAAAAAAACCAAGGCTGAATGTTCTGATACGCAGATGCTAACACAGAATAAGGGGATGGGGGGAAGAACAGAAGTCCACTGGATTAGACAAAGAGGAATGAAGGGAGGGGAAGGGAGATGGGAATGGGAAAGATAGGAAAGTTATATCTGATTTATTCTACTATCTTCATATATGAATACATGATCAGTGTTAACTCCACATCATGTACAACCACAAAAATGGGAAGTTATACTCCATGTATGTATGTAAAAATACATCCTACTGTCATGTATAAGAAAAAAAAAAAAAAAACCCAAACAAACAAAAAACAAGAAAGTCACGGTTGCTGTGATGCATGCCTATAATCCCAGCAAGGCTGAGAAAGGTGGACTGCAAGTTTGAGAGGGGCCTTAGCAACTTGGGAAGGCCCTAAGCAACTTAGACCTTGTCTCAAAAAATTTCAAAAAAGGGCTGGGGATATGGCTCAATGGTCAAGCACCTCTGAGTTCAATTCCCAATATCAAAAAACAAATGAATAAAACAAAACAAGAACAAAACAAATCTAGGAAAATAACATACATATACTAGTATATTAAAACAATCAGTTTTTTATTATCTCCCCAATATTGTTATTTCTGATCACACACTGCATTTACCAGTCTGCTCCCTCCCGCCCCCACTACAGGGAATGGGGATTGAACCCAGGGGCACTCTACCACTGAGCTTCTTTGTTTTTTGAAACAGGGTCTTTTTAAGTTACCCAGGTTGCAAACGTGCAATCCCCCTGCTTCAGCCTCCTGAGTCACTGTGATTACAGATATGTACCACTGCACTTGGCTCTGTTTTTTTTTTTTAAATGTCTTTTTAATTTGAAATTATTCCTCAATCTTTCTTTGTCTTTCATGACATTTTTGAAAAGTACAGGTTAATTTTTTATAGACCGTCTCATTTGAGAGTTGTCTAATATTTTCCTATGAATAGATTAAGATTATACATTTTTGGCAGGAGAACTCCAAAAACAATGTTGTTATTCTCAGTGACTCATAAGAAGAAGCACATAATGCCAACTTGTCCTGCTATTGGTATTAACTTTGATCACTTGATCATGGTGGTGCCTCCATTGTACTTTATTTTTCCTTTGCAATAAATGAGTATATTGTGGTGATATACTTGGAGGCATTAAAATATCTTGTTCCTTCATAAACTTTCACCATTTTAGTATCCATTCAATTCTTAATTAATCATTATTATGGTCAAAACATCATTTTTTCCCCCTTAAATCATCATTTCTTCTTCCATTTTGATTTTTTAATCTTCTTGGTATCAGGGATTGAACCCAGGGGCACTTAACTAAGCTACTTCCCCAGGCCTTTTTATTTTTTATTTTGAGACTAAGTTCTCGCTAAGTTGCTTAGGGCTTTGCTAAATTGCTGTCTGGCTTTGAATTTACAATCCTTCTGCCTTAATCCCCCGAGATGCAGGAATTACGGATATGTGCTACCTCATCCAGCCTGGTTTACTTTTCTATGGTAAAGAGAAAGGTTCCTTCCTGTCAGTATTGGAGTCATGAATTCCTATTTTACTAAATAGATACAATCTTCACTCTATCATTTTGGAGCTCAAATTATCCCAATTCCACTGACAGAAGCCCCTTAAGCTGACTCATGTCTTGACATATTCTGAACATTTTTTGGACATTTTCTTACTTTCTGATACAAATGTGTCAGTCTTATCTTGTGCTGGAATCAGTCATTTCTTCAAGGATTGTAGACTCCTTTCAGAGTCTACTGGTATTTAGAATCAAAGATTTGGGTATAAGGTGTGCCCACTAAAACTAAGGTGAATATGCTCTATGCTTTCTCAGTGTGCAGAGGTAGGAAACAGATGTATGAATACACACACATACATACACAAACATGTTTATGTAAAATATATATATAAATATACCCTCTATATATCTACATCTACTCCTACATCTATCTATAATTGTTAGAAACCACAAGTTCTTATTGATACCTCCAGTGCCAATCCAGCCCCACAGGATTCCTTCTATCTTTTCCCTTTCATATGAGTAACTCTCTTCTCTGACAGTGAGAAACTTGGCTCTCATTATCCATAATAAATTTATTTGTTTAATCCTAGAATACACATAAGATAGTTTTTGATTTGTTAATCCATGCCTCTGTGAAAAAGAAACCTAGTAAATAGAGTTCAATATTTATTTACAGTCCACTCTGTCTTTAGCATGAGGATGTTTAGTCCAAACATTGTTTTAAGTTATTTGGACAGAAATGAAGAACCAATTAGTGGTTGCCAGGAGCTGGGAAGGATGGATGTTTATGGCTACAGAAGGTTAGCAAAAGGGATCCTCATGGTGATGGTAAAGTTTTGTATGTTGACATACATCTATACAGACCTACATACAAAATGAGTGCATGTAAGATGGGTAGAATTTGAAAACTAACATTGAATTTTATCAACATTAATTTCCTGTTTGGGATATTGTACTATAGTTATGCAAGACACAAGCACTGGGGAAAAACAGGGCGAAGGATACCTCTTTCTAATAGTAATTCCTGTACATCTATAATTATTTTAAAATAAAAGTTTTTCTTAAAAAGTTACATGGCTGGGTGTGGTGGCGCATGACTATAATCCCAGCGACTCAGGAGGCGGGGGCAGAAGGACCACAAATTCAAAGCCAGCCTCAGCAAGTTAGTGAAGCCCTAAGCAACTTAGTGAGACCCTGTCTCAAAATAAAAAATGCAAAAGGGTCAGGGATGTAGCTCAGTGTTAAGTACCCCTAGGCTCAATCCCTGGTATAAATAAATAAACAAACAAACAAATAAATAAGGGCTAGGGATGTAGCTCAGTGGTAGAGCGCTTGCCTTGCATGTATGAGGCACTGGGTTTGATCCTCAACACCACACAAAAATAAAGAAATAAAAATAAAGATACTGTGTCCATCTACAGCTAAAAAATATTAATAAATCAATAAATTTTTTCAAAACGTTAGTTGATGGATTTGGGATATATAGCTCAGTGCCTAGCATGAATGAGACCCTTGGTTTGGTCCCCAGCACTGCCCCATTCCAAAGAAAATATCCTAAAACAAAAGTTACTTAGGCTTATCACTCGTTTCTCCTCCATTATTTTATTAATTTTAAATACAATTAATGTTTGTAGTTCACTTGATTTTTTAGAATGTAAAACATCATGGCTCCCAAAAGTTTAAAAGTTGTAACCACACAAAAAAGGCATGCTCAGGAAGGTATTTACCACCACCACTGTCGCCATTACCATCCCAGTCAAATACCTTTTCTTCTTTCTACCCAGTCTCATCCATCCTCTGTCTGTAAGACATTTTATTACTCTGTGGTTCATCTTAACTTTTTTTCTATAAATATCATAATCATGCATATTTTGGGGTTTTTTCCTTAAGATATATTATTGTTCATATTCTTTTGTATTTTGCTTTTTTAAAAAAACATCTAACAATATATTTTGCATGTGTGCATAAAACCCAGGGTTACTAACACTGAACCACACCCCAGCCCTTCTTATTTTTTATTTTGAGACAGGAATCCTCATGCCGCAACCCCTCAAGTTGCTGAGATTATAGACCTGTATTAACATGTCTGGCTTGTTTCTAATAATTTGTAATCATTAACAATATTGTAGTAAATACTCTTTTACCAATACTTCGTATTATTAGAAATGTGTCTTCAGGGTGAATTCTAGAAGTGAGAATTCTGGGTCTCGTGCCTCTTCCCAAGAAATTAGGCCTTAATTGCAAATAATAATAAATGGGGAACCTCCTTTCAAATGGTTAAAGAGACATAATCAATTTTCCTTCTCCTTCCTTCTTTTTTAATCTACATTTGGAGTTTTCTCTCGAAATTGTTTCCAGCAGGCAGGATAGACAGAAAAGTTAATTTATGCAAAATGACTTCCTAGAAATATTTTTCTTTTCTAATGAAAAAACACAACTAGACTCACCTTTGACTCCTTTCAGGGATGTCCAGCACAAACCCAAACATCATCTCAGCAATTTTATTGGAGCTGCAGGTAGGAGTCCTATCCACCTCTACAGCTATGGACAGCATCCTCTGAAGCTGGCACACAATCCTGAGTCCAGAACATAGGACATGAGTGAGTGGGAGGGCAACAAGAGGCCATCATGTGGCTGGAACGTCCCCTACCAGTGGTATAACGAGAACACACTATTAAGGGATCTTGTAAACCATATACCGGGTCAGGGAAAACTACTCCAATTATCCGCATGCTTTATCTAGCAATTTCACCTGCTGGAGTCTCTTTTGCCAGTTTATACTATCTGAACCTCTCAGAACCTGGGTTGAACTGCAAAAGCAAGCTGCTTTGCAATTCAAAAATAGAACTGCACAATTTTAAGGGTGGAGAGAATTTTAAGAAGTAGCTAATCTATAACTTCCCTATTTTGTATATGATATAAATAGGCTCAGTGAATGAAAATTATTTGAATTTTTTGATATAGGAGAAAATACGTATGTCATAATTTTATCCTGTTACTGGTTTCATACTAAATTCAGTCTCAGAACTTCCACTGGTGGAACCTGACCTTCTTTTTCATCAGACTTAACTGTGGCAGAAAGCTGACCTGATGTGGCATTAGGAATCCAGGCATCCAGGCAATGCCTCAGAAAGGTGAGCCTGACCTGACACCAGCCTTTTCTAAAATGTATTATTTACGATAAAAGAAATGGCTTTGTTTTCAGAAAATCTCCATCCAGTGACACAACAGATAGACAAGGGATTCTGGCTATATAAACTGTTTGCCCTTCAACAAATTACTAAACTGCTGAGTCCATAAAAGGGGAAATAATACCACGTATTATTAAATAATAATACTCATAAAAGGGGAAATAATACCACGTATTTCACAAGGTGAGAGTGATATGTAAAATATCTGACAAAAAGAGACTCACTGATGGTAAATGGTAGTACCTTTAATTATTAATGATAAGATCATGATATAATAGGGAGCCCTATTATTATTTCTACTAGTATTTACATATAAAATATATTATGAGGATTATTGTATGAAATTAGCTTCCACTGAAGGAGGCTTGTCTACCTTCCTCTTGGGTTTGTATATGATTTCTCTGGAATAATCCCACTTTAGGGACCTTCCACAATATGCCAAAATAAATGCTTTACTGTTCTAAAACGGTATTCTTTTTGGGACAAGATTGTCTCCTAAATTAGCTGAAGCTCATAGGGTTAATATAAAAGTTAGTTTGCTGCAACTATGTTATAATATAATATGTGAACTTAGGTGCAAATGCAATAATTTGGAATGTCAAGTGTGATCAAGATGATTGATATGGAATTCTACGTTACCAATATAAAGGCAGCCATAGTCTCTAAAATCCTGGTCACCCCTCAAGAAATGTGAATGCCACACTCAATTCCATAAAAGAAATCCTGTGAGTTGGGTGTTATAGCACATGCTTATAATCCCAGCTACTCAGGAGGCTGAGGCAGGAGGACTGAAAGATCTAGGCCAGACTCAGCAACTTAGCAAGATCTTGTCTCAAAATAAAATAAAAGGGCTGGGGATGTAGCTCATTGGTAGAGCACTTGCTTAACATGTGCAGCAAGGCCTTGGATTCAATCCCTAGTAATGAGGGAAAAGAAGAAAAATGAAACACTGTGAATCTCTTTCACAGTCTGAAGTTATGAGACCTGCCCTGGTCTGAGTCATTGCCATTATACCTGTCGGAACCTGCAGGTTGAACTGTTATTTTTTTCCCTATTAAGGGACCAAACACAGGTTTCTGAGGACTAATGGTTGGAATGTTACTACCCACCACTCCCACGTTGGGGAAATGATGAGTAGGTATGACCCTTTATTGGCTCTTGAAACCCAGGAATGGGAGGGCAGGGTACTCTAACTTTTGTTTCACTTCTGCTTTGTCCATCTGTACTCGCTTGGTGAAGTCTTATTTACCCAGGGGTGAATTTGCTTCTGTTTTACTGTCAAATTAGCCTTTAGTTAAAATAAGTCTTTAGTAAGAAACAGTCTATGTTGTAAGAGTTGTTAACTTTGAGTAAACTGTTCTTCAGAACAGGTGCTATTCTTTAAAACCCAATAGCTCAGGGAAAGACAACTTTGCCTGCCCCTTACAACTGATTGGTATTCTTGGTCAGGTTAGACTGGGGAGAAGGATGTCCACCGCTGGCCTTTAAGATTCCTGTTTCTGAAGAAGTTTGATTCCCATCTTCAGTTACTGCTTTGACCAGCCACTTAATAACATCTCTGCAATAGAAAGAAGAGTCACATCATATAGGGCTTAGGTGATACAAGTAAGTAAAAATATCTCAAAGTCAAAATAACTTTTGATGATCACTTAGATAACCAAGATAAAAATGGTAGGCTGAATGCACACACCTAATTTGTTTATTCCTAAAACCTCACTAATATTACAGCAAATAATTATATAAAGAATTCACAAGGGCGGGCTGGGGTTGTAGCTCAGTGGTAGAGCACTTGCCTAGCATGCTAGAGGCCCTAGGTTCGATCCCAAGCACCACATAAAACTAAATAAACAGAATAAAGGTATCGTGTCCATCTACAACTAAAAACAAAACAAAACAAAAAACCCCCTCCGCCTTTAAAAGAAAAAAAGAATTCATAAGGAAGAGGAAAGGACACAACAACAGTAAAATTTTGGAAGGTGGAAGGATATTCACTACTATGTAATATTATAAAGTTGTCAAAGTGAATAAGCTACATTGACAAAGTAATATGGATAAATCTTAGAATTATAAAATATTAAGTGAAAAATAAGAGTCCAAATAGTTTAAATATAGAATGCTACCCTTTATTGTTATTTATTTTATGGTACTGGGGATTGAACCCAGGGGTGCTCTACTGAACTGCAACCCCAACCCTTTTTATTTTTTGGGATAGGGTCTCACTAAGTTGTTTAGAGCCTCACTAAATTGACCATGCTGGCCTCAAACTTGAGATCCTCTGTCTGCCTCAGCCTCCCAAGTTGCTGGGATTACAGGTACATGCCATAGCACTAGCATGAAACCTTTTAATATAAAGCTAAAGGAAGCCAAAATAAAAATATATACTTTGAAGAACACATGTATATGCTATAAAGTTACACAGTAGGAAAAAAATGAGAACATTCATAGTGGACATGAAGGATGATCACTCAGGTGCAGGGAGATGTAAAGATGGGGATTGGATGTATGTATATATAGGGAATTGTCAAGATCCTCATCTTTGATTTGGGGGGATAGGTTAAGACATGCTGACTATAAAATTAAAGGTAACTAGATAACTAAAAACAAATAAGGCAAGTGTGTCATGTTTTAAGGATAATGATTAATCCAAATATATGAATTTGGCAAAGGAATAAATTTTATTTTTTTTAATTGACTTAGAACACAAAGCTGAATCCTAAGCTAGCAGTAGAAAAGAGCAATCCTATATATGCTGCCTCCCTGCCAAAAAAAAAAAAAAAGAAAGGAAAACAAAGAAAAAACATTCCAATAAGCTTTGCAAATGATAGTAGTAGGTTTCTCTGAAAGAGAAAGGTGAAAGGGAAGTATGTTAAAATAAGTAGAAGGGCTTAAATTTGCTTAAGAAATTTTTATACTCCTATATCTTCTTCACCAACCCTGTAGACTACGGGTTCCCTTTGTGGAGAGGTCAAACAGAATCTCTGATAGGGGATACCAGAGGCAATGTGGACACAAAGGTATCAAAACAAACAGGGGGCACTAAAATGAACACAGGAACACTGAATGCAGAGACCCTTGTCATCATCTCACACCTGTCTTCAAAACCCTGGAATCCTGTTCTTTGACTTGAAGGAACTGGAAATCTCTGGAAAACTCGACTAGCTCAGGTAGGAATACCTGAAAATGCTGATGTGTTGATATGGGAGACTGTCTTAAAAAATGGGAAACCAGTTCCACCTACTGGGAAGTGCAGAGATGGCAAGTACTTCGTGTCCTCAGAATTTCCATCATTTTTTTAATCTCTCACCTTTAAACAGGGATAAATTACTAAGGCTTATCAGATGTCTAGAAAACTTCTAATACAAGAGACATTTACTAATTAGCTATTAAAAAAAGTGACTTGGTAGAAAGTGGTATATTCAGAGAATAAACTAAACCAAAAATCTATGACCAGTACTGAAGATATGAAATGGTATGGGTCCAGGAAAGAACAAGAATAGAATACTATTTGTTGATTTTAATAAGAAACATGTTAAGAAAAAATAAAAGAGTTCTTGAAAATTGTAAATAGCTATGTGTGGTGGTGTATGCCTATAATCCCAGCAATTAAGGAGGCGGAGGTAGGAGGATCACAAGTTTGAGGCTGGCCTGAAAACTTAGCAAGACTCTGTCTCAAAATGAAAAAGGGTAGGAATATGGTTCCATGGTAAAGTGGCCCTTAGTTCAATACCCAGTAGCACAAAAAAAAAAAAAAAAAGAAAAGAAAAAGAAAAAGAAAGAAAGAAAATTAGAAACGTGAAAATAAAAATGGGAAATCCATTTTCTAGAAACGAAAAATTACATTTCCAGACTGAAATGGCCCACTGAATATCAAATACAATGGATGAATATAGATATCCAAGAGAGCTCTACAACTTCCAGAGGAAAAAACAATGACACACATGAAGAATCACTAATCAAAATAGCTCAGGACTTCTTAACAGCAATTTTGGAAGCAAGAGGACATAGTTATTTCTAACTAGATATTTAAATTCAGCCTAGTTATCAATCAGTGTGTGAAAAAATGTTTTAGATAAAACTTTACTTCCCATACAATTTTCTTTGGAAGCTCTAGACTGATTCATCAAATGAAGGGAGTTAGCTGGAGGTGTTGACACATGCCTGTAATTGCATCGACTTTGGAGGTTGAGGCCGGAGGACTATTTGAGCCCAGAAGTTTGAGGCCAGCCTGGGTGACAGTGAGAACCTATCCTAAACAAACATACAAAATAAACAAGCAAATCTAACAAGGGAGTAAACCAAGAAAGAAAAAGACACAGGGCAAACAAAGATCCAAGATTGAAAAGAGTAAAAGGAATACTCAAGTTTATGATCAATACTGGCAAAGAGGACAACCAATACAGATTGAAGAGGTCAAAATGTTTCAACTCAGATCTTCACAAAGAAGAAGCTGATGACCCGGCATAATAGTGCCTACTTGGTAATCTCAGGAGGCTGAGGCAGGAGGACTCCAAGTTTGAGGACAACCTGGACAATTTAGTGAGACCTTGTCTAAAAAACAAAACAAAACAAAACACCAAACCAAACCAAAAACCAAAAACAACAACAACCCCCAGAAACCCAGGGATGTAGCTCAGTGGTAAAGATCTTCTGGGTTTAATCTCCAGTATGGGAGACTTCCAATATGAATCTTAAAGGGACTGAGACCTAGTTGGCAAAGAATTTGAGGTTGACTTCTCATATGCACAAAGATTAAGTTCTAGCCTAAGATCCCCAACCTAGAAATAAATTTTTTTCTCTTTAATATTAACATACAGTAGTTTCATATTCTGCAGCTTTCAGAAGCTCTACAAAAGAAAAAAAAAAAAAAGACTCCACATGCTGTAATCCCAGTGACTTGGGAGGCTAAGGCAGGAGGATTGCAAGTTTGAGGCCAGCCTGGACAACCCAGTAAGACCCTGTTTCAAAATAAAAAATTAAAACGTGCTGGGAATGTAGTTCCGTAGTAGAGCATCCTCGGGTTCAATCCCGAAAACACATACACACTTGCTTCCTATTGAACTGAAAACACACACACACACACACACACACACGCTTCCTATTGAACTTGTTGTCAGCCAAATGACCTACTGTCATATTACTTTTCTAAAACTAGTTAGTGATAAATGAGATTAATACTGAATTCACTGAAGGATGGAAATAAAAATCAAAAACATGAAGGTTCCCCCCCTGGATCTCACAAGGTGTTTGAACCATACTAAAATAATTAGACCAATAGAAGTCTGATAGTCTTAAGAGTCATGGCACTTGCCACATTATTGGTGCAGGGAGGGTTTATCTATATAATAATGATCCCTGTTAGGGTATCTAGTGACCATAAAATCTCACCCAACAGATACTGTGCTACCCACCTATAGCCCCTTACATATTGTCTTCCCATGGCTATGGTGGCTGATTACCTGACATTGTGGGGCTGCTTGTCACAGGACAGCACAGTGTTTGCAATAGATTGTTGCAGGTGCTGCCGCTGTCTCCTCAGGATCTGCTGAAAGTCATCTTCTAGGGTCTGTACTACATAACGCAGGAAAAGGACTCGCCCAGGCAGAGTTTGACCCTGTGGGACAAGGAATGAGAAGTCAGTCTTTTTTTTCAGTTTCTTGGATGGCAGTAAGATGTCATACCCACTAAGCCTAAGAAAAGGTCATGAGTTAACAAGTTTGTACCTAAAAGAAAGGTTTCTTGGCCAGGTGCAGTGGTGCCCACCTGTAATCCCAGAAGCTTAGGAGGTTAAGGCAGGAGGATTGAGAGTTCAAAGCCAGGGCTGGGGATATAGCTCAGTTGGTGCTTCCCATGTGTGCATGAGGCCCTGGGTTCAATTCCCAGCACCAAAAAAAAAAAAAAAAAAAAAAAGAGTTCAAAGCCAGTCTCAGCAACTTATTAAGACTCTGTCTCTAAATTAAAAAAAAAAAAAAAAAATGGGTTGGGGAGGCAGCTCAGTGGTTATGTGTCCCTGGGTTCAGTCCTGGTGCCAAAAAAAAAGAAAAAAAAAAAGGAAAAAAATAGGACAGCTGCTAAAAGAATCATACTCTGTAAGGTCTTAGAAACCATTTTATTTTGTTTTAGGGATTAAAAATGATTTATCTGTTCAAAGGATCTAGACACCTATGGATAATTTCCTAATGTCTAAGTTGCAACTGGAGGTCTAGAGTTGTCAGAATTGTAGATGTTTTGATTTTTAAGACTGCCATGAGAAGTCAAGTCTCTCTCTTACTCACTGGACTTTATCAGCCCAAGGATAAATTAAAAACTGGCTTGCAGATCACAGGAGAGAAACTGGTTTTTTAATAACTGCTGAGCTGCTAGATCAAACAACCATGATGTCCACCCTACTACTGAACTTGCAGTACCATGAGCTGATGCATACTCTTATTGTTTAAGCAAGTCCCAACTGTCACAGAGAATCCTGTCATAGGTAAAATGATCCTAACTGACACAGGCAAAGAACACGGGCTTTGGTGGCACAGAGACCTTATGTTTTGTTGCTGTTATTTGCTTTAAAGGTAGCTTCATCCCTGATTTAACTTACCTGTTTGGAGTCTGAGTGTCTTTGTGATTTGTTGGGTATAATTCTAACTTACCAAAGACAGTGTTGATACCTGACACATAGCAAGCAGGCATGTACAATTTGTTGGCTTCCATTTACTGGGAGACAAGTGTTAGGAGCTCAGGAGCTCAAAAGGCACCAAATGTTTCTGGGATATGTGAGAACTTTCAAATTTCAGGGTATATTCCCTTCCACAGTATGGTTCAGTTATCAGAAACCAGAACGACAATACTAAGTATATATCAGTATATATTTTTAAAAAAAGTATATTATTACTTTTGAGGAGGAAGTGATGATATCGTTGCCTTCCAAATGTGTATATTTTTCTCTGATCCTTAATAACTGATGCAAAAAAAATTGTCTTAAAAACCCACGTATTTAGATTGGGTGCAATGTATACCTATAATCTCAGCTATTCTGGAGGCTAAGAGGAAGGGGGAGGGCAAGTTCAAAGCTAGCCCAGGTTTAACTTAGTGAGACCCTATCTCAAAAACAAAAACAAAAACAAAACTGATGTAGTTTCATGGTAGAACACACCTGGGTTCAATTACCAGCACCAAACACACACAAAAAACCAAGTACTTGTGTTAAATCTGCAATAAAAGAAAGTCTTGTATTGATAATACTCTCTGAAAGTCACCCTATATATTTCTGAAGAAATAGGCTTTTGCTATTTCTTAACATTAAACATGATCTACTGAATTATACTATGCTACATAAAGTCTGACTCACTCATGCAAAACTTCCACCTCTTATCTTCCAGAAATAACTATTCTTCATCATATCTAGGCATTATTTCCTGATTCTCCACTTTGGAAGATAAGGACAATCTGCAGAGATCATGTCCCTTTCATCTCCCAATCTTTGTCCTCTGCACTTTTCACTTTATATAATAAAGGCTAATAAAAATCTCTCCTATGCTTTGTATCTAAATTGATTTTCAATGTTATAATTAGAGTTTACAGTGTCAGAACTATGTTAAAATTAATTACTATACTGGAAATCCATATACTATACTAAAAAAAAAAAATCACGTTTTTTTTTAAAGAACATTTCAACCCCAAGAAGATCCCTTGTGAATGAATGAATTAATTAATGCAGCTAATTCCCATTCCTCTCTAGATTTGCCTTTTCTAGACATTTCATATATACAGAATCACACAATATATGATTTTTTTTTTCGTGTGGTTTCTTTTATTTAGCTTAATGTTTTCTGAGGTTCACCCATAATTTATCTATATTATTAATTCCTTTTTATTGCCAAATAGTATTTCACTGTATGTATACAGTGCATCTTGTTTACCTATTCACAAGTAGGTAGACATTTTTTGGCTATTATAAGTAATCTTCCTATGAATATTCACATGTAAGTTGTCTCTTGACGTTTCCAAATTTTTTAGGTCTGTATCTAGAAGCTGAATATATAGACTGCATGATAAATTTATGTTTAACTTTTTAAAGAAACTGCCAAACTGTTTTCCAAAGTGGTTGTACCATTTACATTTTGCATCAGCAATGGATGAGATTTACTAGTCTCCATATTTTTTGCTAATGTTTGCTATTGTTTTCTCATATTTTTAAAAGTGTGGTAAATACACATATTAAATTTCTATCAGCCATTTTAAATGCACATAGTATTAAGTATATTCATAAGTTGTGCAAAAGATCTCTAGAAGTTTTCATCTTGCAACACTGAAACTCTACATTCATTAAACAACAACTTCCTGTTTCTTACTCTCCACAGTCCCTGGTAACTATCATTCTATTTTCTGTTTCATTGAATTTTTGATACCCCATTTAAGTGGAATCACATAGTATTTGTCCTTTAGTGACTGGTATATTTTACTTAGCATAGTGTCCTAAAGTTTCATCCCTGCTTTAGAATGTGACAAGATTTCCTTTCTTTTTAAGACAGAATTAACATTCCATTGGATGATTAAACCACATTTTGTTTATAGACTCACCCGTTGATAGATCCTGGGGTTGTTTCTTCTTGGTTATTGTAAATTATGCTGCTTCTGCACATGGGTTATACTTATTTCTTTGAGAACTTGCTTTCAATTTGTTTTCATATATAACTTAAATTGGGATTGCTGGATCACATGGTAATTCTATTAATTTTTTGAGGAGGTTTTCCATAGCAATTGTACCATTTCACAATTCCTTCAAGAGTGCACAGAGATTCCAATTTCTCCATTATCCTTAACAACACTTATTTTCCTCTTTAAAAATTTTAGAGTAGCCAATCTAATAAGTGGTATTTTCCTATTTTTTCATGATGTGGTCTTCTTAATGTGTTTATGTCCATTTGTTCTAAATTATCAAAATTTATCCATTTCTTCTAAGTTATCAAATTTGCTGGCACACAGTGGTTGGTTTGTAGTAATCTCTCATGATCTTTTGTGTTTCTATGGTGTCAGCTGTAATGTGTCCCTTTTCATCTCTGATTTTATGTCTTCTTTCTTTTTCTTAGTCTACCTAAGGGTTTGTCTATTTTGTTCATCTTTTTGGAGAACCAGCTCTTCCTGTGACCTTTTGTTGAAATTTAGGCATCTGAAATAATAACTACCTTTTCCAGTCTAGTTTAGATTGAGTTTCTGTAGAAGACGACTTTCACCAATCAGCCTGGCTCGACGAAGTACTGGATCTCATATCTTTTTTTATGATGTCTTTGCTTTGGGATTATGCATATACTGATCTTTTAATTTCTCAAGTGGCTTGCCCCTTGTTTCTTTCAGGAGCTTGTAATTTCCTGCATCCCTTGGAATCTGCCTGTGAAACTGTAGACTCTGCAGTTCTAATATATTTCAGTGCTTGCCTCTATTTTCAGCAGCTTCCAAGCTATGCTACTGTTCATATCAGTGCTGAATCTGGCAAGACGGAAATCAGTCCCTTGGGCAGTCCCCAACAAACTAGCATAACGGATGCATAGTACACTCTTTCATTTATGTCCCAAGAGAGAGGCCATGGGAGACTTCTTTCTGGTTGTGGCTTGCTGTGCTGGGTAGGGGACAGGGCATGGACATGCAAAGTACCACAGACTTTCCTACCTCTTTTGATGGAATATCTTCTTGGTTTTACTTTAGTTTGGGCCCTGCAGGTATTCTGGCCTTTAGAGTTCTCACACAGGTCTTCTGGTCCATATATTGTTAACTCAGTGTCTCCACTGAAGAACAAGGACCTGGAGCTTCTTACTTAAGCCATTTTACTGATGTCTCAGACCATTCTTATTTAAAGCCCTCTCTCTGTCACTTCACCCTAACCTGGAGTAACTGCTGCCTTGGTCTGCTATTCACTGCTAATTTGGGGACTTCTCTTCAATACTCTTTTGGATTCAATCTACTATTCTTTGGACTCCATGTCTCCCTCTTTTTTGGGTACTCCCTCATTTCTTGGATGCACACCCATAGGTGGCCTCTTAAGAAATAGAGTTTTTATTTAATTCAAAGTTGAAAATCATTTGTTTTATCTAATTGCTTTAGGGCAAGCAGACAAAGCTCTAGCAGCTAATTTTGGGACCCCCTAAAAGTCAGAATGTGGAACACCTTTTTTCAGCTTACCAATTAGAAGTCTTTGTTTATTGCAGATGGCTCATTACTTTCAGATAAGGAATTTTCTGACTTTTTACCTGAAAGATAGATAACCTGGCTATTGAACTTTCTCTGCTAAACAATGGGGAGGTTGACTGCTCCCTCTAAAGATTTTCAACAGATACACATTTACAACCCATATCTGACTCATATCTTTTGCTATATATATTGTGTTTCTGAATCTAATAAAACTTCTCTGGTGCTTAAAAGAGAAGATTTCTTCCCTATGTGGCTACTGTCTCTCCTGCATGTATTTCTAGCTTTCTCTACCCAGCTGGCTTTCTTTGTCCAGCTTCATTAGTTACCACTCCGATATTTTCTTTAGATCTTCCAAATTTTTATTCACATATGTTGTTCTCCCATGTATAACAATGGATTTATAACTTTCTACATTTATTTGTTAGCATTTAAAAATTTTTTCTAAATGTACATGGACACAGTATTTATTTATTTATATGTGGTGTTGGAGGATCGAACCCAGTGCCTCACATGTGCGAGGCAAGGGTTCTACCTCTGAGCTACAGCCCCAACACCTATTTATTAACAGTTTGTTTGTTTGTTTTTGAGATGGTGTCTTACTATGTTGCCCTAAAACCTGTGGGCTTGAGTGAGGCTCACACCTTAGGCTCTTAAGTAGCTAGAACTATAGGCATGTGCTTCCGTGCCAGCATACTTAATAATATTTTAAATGGGATCTCAAAAAGGAGAGTGAATCTATTCATATTTGAATTGGAAAACAGCACCCATTTTAGTTGTAATTGTTTGGCAGGGGTAGAACTTTCTTTGTAGTAAAAACTTCCTCTGAAAAGATGCACCTTCATAATTATTATGTTACCTCTTCTTCCATGACATATGTGAGCAGTTTCCAGTCCCACTCCACTGTCTTAGCATTGGCTGGATGCAGCCTGAAAGTCAAATGACATCAATTAGAATTATGGAGAATATATAAGAAGAAGAAATAGGCTCTGAAGAGGACAGAAGAAAAAGCCTCCTCATCCTCAGTGGTCAGGTCTACCCTCTGGTACATCACTATGTCAGTCTGAATGTAGTAGAACTTCATTGGTTTTTGGTAACCATTATCCATCACTTTTGGGAATTGTATCTTAAGGAAACCAACTCTTTACACTCTTAGCTAATTAGCTTTACCTACCAGGACCCCAGGATAAAACATGTTAGTTTTGAGTGAATCATGATATTCTACCCCTTAGTTCACAGTGATTTGTTTAAATATGAGTTCATGTTTCATATTAGGCCAATTAAATCCTACAAAACTCAATTTCAGAATTCTCATGGGACTATCAGGTAAGTGGACTCTCCTACTGTGAGTTCCTGAGGTTGATGACTAACATGTGGAACCTGAAAATAAAAGCAGAACTGAAAAACAGACTGTGGTAACCATTTCTTAACACAGAATAAACTCACATCTTATTCCGTTTCTAGTACATAAATCATTAAATTCTCTTATAGCAGCTGTTAAAGCCACTTTTGATTGGTTTTCCTGTGACTTGCAATTAAAATAACACTAATATATTAAGAAACCTTCTAGCTGGGCATGTACCTCACACATCCCAGTAATGAAGAAGGCTGAGGTAGGAGGATCACAAGTTTGAGGACAGTTTTGGCAACTTAGTGAGACTGTCTCAAAACAAAATAAAAAGGGCTGGGGATATAGTTCAGTGGTGGAGTGCCCCTAGGTTCCAGTCCCCCTCCTCCTCCCACCACTCAAAAAAGCAAAAGAAACTGAAACCCTCCCTAATAGTTAGCTGAATAAAGTTAAGGCAACAGAAAGCTGTGCTGGGTCCAAATTCCCCCAAACAGTCAACTGTTATGGTTCATACTGTTGAATTTTCATGAGAAGCATGTAGGCCTCCTTGAGGACATCCACAGTCTCAGAGCCACTGAGCAGGATTTTCTGGATAATATGAGCCACAATATCTCCAGGTGGGTAATGCTGGGGTGATACGAAGTCCATCAAAAACTGCACAGTCCCCAGGGGGAAGTTTTCTTCAATGGTGTTTGTTACCATTCTTAGTCTTCGAGGAGGGATGGGTTCTAACTTTTGACCCTTGCTCTGTTGAGATAAAAAGAAAGAAATTAGGATAGGTTTCTACAGTACATAAAAACAAGAGATTCTGGAACTGGTTGAAGAGAAAGTTTCCCATGTATTTGAAATATTTCATAATTTCAAAAGAAAAAAAAAGACATTATCTAAAAAAACTCTTGGGCTGGGGTTATGGCTCAGTGGTAGAGTACTTGCCTAGCATGTATGAGGCACTGGGTTTAATTCTCAGTACCACATATAAACAAATAAAATAAAGGTCCATCAACAACTAATAATAATAAAAAAAAGATAGTTGAAAAAAAAACCTCTTAATGACCTTGGGGAAAAGCTTATATAAAATTAAAAGGAATTATAAATGCTATATACAGCATGACTTAATTTATATTAAAATATAGCATAGAAAGAAAATACAAGAGTCAAGAACTAGCCTGAGTTAATTTTGGGTTAAGGGTGACAAGAGATTTAGGGCAACTGTAATGCTATATCAGATAGTGAAATAGATACGGAAGAGAATTTAAATATATTTTGTTGTTAGGAGAAAAATTTCATGTTTTGAGACAATGGTAAATATTGATGCTTTGTCCCCCTAAAACATGTATGTAGATTGGGAGAGAATATGTGAAAAGTGTGTGTGTGTGTGTGTGTGTATTTTATTAGCTGGGTGGTAGAGTTAGGGTGGTTTTTTTCCTCTAGAATCTATTCTGTATTTTTCAATTTTTCCATAGTAGGCACTTATTAGTTTTATAATTAGAAGGAAAAAAATTAAAAGTTGACTTAATATGAGAATAATAACATTAATAAAACTTTTTGAACATATAAATTATCCTTAGTTCTTTCAACAACCCTAAGAAATATGTACTATTATTGATCCTATTTAAATAACAAAGAAAAGAAACATAGTTAGAGGGCAAATATTTATTATGCAACAAATGGCAGAAGCTAGTTTCAAACATAGTGGCATAACCCCAAAGCCACTGTCTTAACCCTTGCATTCTATAAGCAACAACAACAATAAAAGTAAATAAATATATGCTAAAACCCCAATTATTAAAAAATAAAAAATGGTTATGTATGAAAAGACAACTGGGAAGGAAATATACCAAATTATTCAAAATAATAACTGCTGATAGCATGAGTAATTATTATTATTTTTAAATTTTTAGTTGAGTTGGACACAATACCTTTATTTTATTTATTTATTTTTATGTGGTGCTGAGGATCAAACCCAGGGCCTCACCCATGATAGGCAAATGCTCTACTGCTGAGCCACAACCCCAGCCCCAAGTAATTTTTAAATATTTTATAAAAAGCATTTAAAAAATTTATTTATTTATTTATTTAGAAAACAGGGATTGAATCCAGGGGCACTTAACCACTGAGCCACAAACCTAATCATTTTTCTTTAAATTTATTTTTTAGTTTTAGGTGGATACACAATATCTTTATTTTCTTTTATGTGATGCTGATGATCACACCCAGTGCCTCACTCATGCCAGGTGAGCGCGCTACCACTTGAGCCACATCCCGAGCCCCTCAATCATTTTTTTTAATACTTTTTTTTTTTTTTAGTTGTTGATGGACTTTTATTTCATTTTTATGTGGTTCTGAGAATTGAACCCCGTGCCTCACACATCCTAGGCAAGTGCTCTACCACTGAGCTACAACCCCAGTCCCAGCCCCAGCCATTTTTATTTTTTATTTTGAGGCAGGGTTTTGCTAAATTGCTGAGGTTGCCTTTGAACTTGCAAGCTGCCTGCCTCAGCCTCCCGAGTTGCTGGGATTACAGGCATGTGACACTGTGCCTGACAACAAGCATTATTTTTAAAATCAGAAAATAAGAATTTTAAAATGGCTAACCAACAAAAATCTGACAGTATAGGCTAATACAATAAAACAGTAAAGGCTGGAATTGCCTCTCCAGAAAATCAGGACAAGAGAAGACCAGTTGACTTTCCTGATGTCTCAAATCACCCTGCAGGTTCCCTCTGAGCTCTGATGAGAGACCATTAATGTATAAGGCATGCAATAAAAATTGGAGAAAAAGAAGAGAAAAATAAAAATCTTATTTTGATGACTGATTTTACATGGGATACACTTTCTAATCTTGAATCTGTATCAGGTTTTTGTTTTTTGCTAAAATTAGGGACATCTACAAACAAATGTTTACATGTTGTTTTGATGTCTACAAATTATTTCTTTCCTTTTTTTTAAAGTATTTTTTTTTAGTTGTAGATGAACACAATACCTTTATTGATTTATTTATGTGGTGCTGAGGATTGAGCCCAGTGCCTCGCACATGCTAGGTGAGAGCTCTACCACTGAGCCACAACCCCAGCCCTCAAATTATTTCTTAAAGGAAATAATTTGTTGTTTTTGGGGTGGTGATGCTGGGAATTGAACCCAGAGCCTCATGCACACTAACTAGGCCATATTCTATACTGAGTTATATCCCTAGCTCTGAAAAAAGTATTTGTAGGGCACTACCATAAGCTCTGAAAGGTAGCTATGTGTTGTATGTGTTTACTTTTAAGACAAACAACTTTATGATACAGTTCTTATTTTAGAGTTAAACAAAAAGAGACTCGGAGGAATCAAGGGAAATGGCTAACAGGTGGCAGAGGTAGGGAATAAAGAAGTTCTGGAAGGAAAGCTCCCCAGTGAAGAAATATTTACTGAAAGCACCAAAGAAATTAAAGGAGAGAGAGAAAAGATTTATAGATATGTTCCAGATGGCTGAGATTCCTGAAGAAGGTAAGAAAATAAGGATGAAGGAGAAAAATCTACTTCATCTAGTTGAATTGCCAACTCATAATCTGAACTATGTGAACACAAAAGAGGAATAGCTTCTATATCGGTGCAGCAACTCAGAGTACCACAACCTTGACTATGGAAACTTACAAACTCTCAAGTCACCCAAAGGTGCTCTTATTTTTTTCCTTCTTCAGTACTGGTGATTAAACCCAGGAGAACTCTACCACTGAGCTATATTCTCAGCCATATTTATTTATTTACTGGCACTGGGGACTGAACCCAGGGGCTACATTCCCAGCCCTTTTTATTTTTTAAAATTTGAGATGGGGTCTTGCTAAGTTGCTTAGTGCTTTGCTGAGATTATAGGTAAGTGCCACCATGCCTGGCTACATTTTATTTTGAGACAGGGTCTTGTTAAATTGGAGGGGCTGGCCTCAGACTTATGATCCTCCTGGCTTAACCTCCTGAGTAGCTGGGATTACAGACATGTGCCACTGTACCCAGCTCAAGGATGCTCTTGATAATGGACAGATATTTCACCAACCTGAAGCAAACTTGCAGGAGAAAAGAGAATGATCTAGTAGATAGTCATTCAGAAGGAGAAGACATAAATGTCAACTTCTGGCACCTGATAAGTTGATCACTCCTCCCTGAAGGAGAGTGTGCCTTTTCACTTTTTGAACTACTTCAAGCCAGTCTTCTTAATGTTGGGGATGGGAGTTGTGGAAAATAATAAAAAAAACCCAAGCTTTAAAGGCTTAATAATGTGGGACTTAGTCTCATTTTTCCCCCTTATATATCTAGCTTATTTCTCATATATTAATGAAGACCAATGAGAAGTAGCATTCCCACTAAAGTCTTAAAACTGAATTTCTACTCTCAAATTTGGAGTAATAATTTTGTAGGCATTAAAGTGATGAGAGAGTATTATTCTCTGTGATACAGAAGCTGTAATGAGAGTGTCAGGAAGACAGAGGTATAGGAATTGAAAATAAGAATTTGATGAAGCCCATGATGAATCAGACACTAACAAGCACCTTTCATTCAGTGACCCTCTGAGGTATGTTTTTACCTCCATTTTACAGATAGGAAGGCTATGATCAACAAAGGTAAAACAATTTGTACAGTGCTGGTTTTTAAGTGTAGGGCTGAAATTTGAACCCAGATCTGACTCTATACTGAATGTGAAAGATAAAAATTTCATTTATACTTCATCTGTCCTCTCATGCATGAATTCCAGTTATAGAAATTTTATCCAAGGCCTATAGAAAGGACACTCAATCCCGGAGAAGATGTGTTAGCTCACCTCTCGTGTGTCTTTATCAGGTATTAGTGTCTGGAAGAAGAGGTGATGTACTGGAGGTCGTAAGAAGTACTTCAGTCTGTGTAGGCAGGGTTTGTTGTATAGCCCACCTTGCAGTGTTCGTGCTTGTACCTGGGTAGACCCGGAGTTGGCAGGCTCTGACAGTGATATCTCTTTTCTGGCTGGTGTTTCCATGACAGAAAGCCAAGGAACTTTCTCTAACGAAGTTTCAGACTGTGGAGACTGTGGGCTGGGGGAGCAGCTTGGAGAGGATGGAGCTGAGATATCCATAGGAGCATCACAATTCTGTACATCATTCTGAGGAGAGTCAGGCCTGTCTTCTGGTAAATTAAGCAAGTCTCCTGGTGAGCATGGCATGTCACCAGGTGAGCGCAGCACATCTGGTAAGTGTGGTATATCTCCCAATGGTGGTATATCACCAATCACACCTCCTGGTGACTTTGACATTTTACCTGAAGACTGTGGTACATTTCCTAGTGACAGTGGCATGTCTTGTGACTGTGGTACATCTCCTATTGACTGTGGCATGTCTTGCAGTGACTTTGGAATGCCTTGCAGGTGTGCCATGTCTTGTGGATAGAAGAGCTTTTGAGGTGGACCTGGTACATCTTGTAGTAGGCTCAGAGAGTCTTGAGGTGGGCTTGGTGGGTGTTGAGGATGCCAGGATGGCTCTTGAGGTCGGCTTGGCATACTCCACTGAGGGCATCGGACACCTTCAGGAGGGCATGGCACTTCTCGAGGTGGGTGAGGCAAAGTTTGTAGTTGACACTGCGTGGTCTGTGATGGGCATGACAAGGCTCGTGGTGGGCAGGAGGAGGCTCGTGGTGGACATGGTGAAGCTGGAAGTAGGCATGGCAAGGCTCGAGGTGGGCAAGGTACATCTTGCTGCAGGCATGGCAAGAGTGGCCTATGATTGCTGCTGCTACCATTATTGCTTGTTGGGGAGAAAGAGCTAACATCTGAGGACAGCTGTAGGCTTGCTAAGAAGCTGAGGTCACCTTTGAATGTGGTTGAGCTACAATTTGGCTCTGCTGGATAAACAGAGTCCTGATTGATGGATGTAGGGGGTTGAGGACCTTCAAATGTGGTTTCTTCCAACAGGTCCAAATCTACAGGAACACTGTTAATGATTCTCTGTGCTGTAGGCCGAGAGCTTCTGTCCACCCGGCTTTCTATCACCTCTTTGTTGGAGAGGCTGGCACCTGTCTGAAGACTGGCTGGCTCCTTTTGGGAGGCAGTGACAGGTTCTAAAGTCAAATCAAGAGTGGCAATAGGTCGATTTTCTTCCTCATTTCTTGTCAGGTCAATCACACAGAGTCCATTTCGATCCTTTGCCCTTGGTCTGGTTTCTCTAGTTAAGTCAATGAAATCCTGTTGAAGGATTGTGAGAAAAGAAGCATTAAAGAAGGGACTCTCACCTTTATCTCAGAAGACTTAAGTTTCAGCTCTTAAGGATGAATATTATTTTACCTTCTTGCTTCACTGATAATTCACACATCTTGTATAACATAAGCATTAGTTTATTTCCGCTGTTCAACATTTGCCAGTGTCAAAGTTGTCAATTTCTATACCTTCTTAAATTATTCAAATGCCAGATGTATATACCTGGGAGTGTCGTAGGAAAATTTTCTGGTCCAAGGAGGACAGGGAGGAGTAGGGGATATTCCAACCTTCACAAAATAGAAAGCAACCATTGTTTGGAAAAGTAAATACCTAGGACAACCTACAACAGAAGCCAAACAAGAAAGTAAGCTATTTTAAGAGGATCTATGTGTTGAGAATATATTAAGTGCTTTCACAAGACATATTACATTTTCACTATGACCCTATAAGGTAGGCAATATCATCTCCATTATACAGATATAACAACTAGAGGTTAGAAGAACTAGGCTATTTACCTAAGGATTATACAGTGAAGTGGCAGAGACAGACATTGAAATCCTGATCTCTTTTCCCTATTAGAGAGTCTAGAAATGTACACCTTTATTCAATAATTGACTTAAAAAGAGATTCAGAAAATAATACAATAAGGGTTTTAAAACCAATAATGTAAGTCTGGTCCTTTTTTAAAAAAAATATTTATTTTTTTAGTTGTAGTAAGACACAATACCTTTATTCCATTCACTTATTTTTATGTGTTGCTGAGGATCGAACCCAGGGCCCCTTGTGCATGCTAGGTGAGCGCTCTACCCCTGAGCCACAATCCCAGCCCTGAGTCTGGTCCTTAATTAGATTAATTAATGGATAATTATCTATCTCTGCTCCTATTCCCTAGCAAATTGATCAGCCAGTTCACAAAGCTTGATGATGCCAGCCAGATATACTTTAATTCACCTCTGTGCCAAAAGCCTGAAATGATATTGGTCTAGTTTCCAGATGTCTTCTCACCTGACTGAGGACCACTGCCATTAATACATTAGGGTCCTGGTGCTGGCATCATGTTGTTATGGTTTAGAAAGGAGAGGTTCCCAAAAAGATCCTGTGTTAATGCAGCAATATTCAGAGTAAAATTATCAGATTATGAAAGCTGTAACCAAATCAGTCTATCTACTTTGAATGGGCTGGCTTTAGTGTAATTGTAGGCAGATGGGGCGTGGCTAGAAAAGGTGAGTCCCTGGAGTGTGTGTGTGCTGGAAGGATTCATCTTCCCTGCAGTTCTTTCTTCATTCCTGACTTTTCTCTGCTTTCTTGAGGCTATGAGAGGAGAAGTTTCCCTCTGTCACACCCTTCCAAGGTGAGGTTCTATCTCACCTTGGGCCCAGAGCAACGGAGTTGGCTCTTTATGGACTGAGATCTCTAAAACCATGAGCCCCAAATAAACTTTTAAGTTGTTCTTGCCAGACATTTTGGTCAAAGCAATGAAAAGACTGACTAAAACACATGCCACTTCTAACTACTGTCAACAGCAACAAAACAGGTCCCAGGTTCTGGGTGGGTCAAGTGAGAAGTTGGCCTGTACCTCATCCTAGAGTAGGACTGCTTAGTTAAATCCAGTGCCTCATTCCTAGGCAGCAGCTATCCTGCGTCACTGCCTTTGAAGACTCTCACTGGCTATCTGAACTGAAATTAAATAGCTGAAAGGCCACTGAAGGTCTGAACTCTTATCCATAGCAAATGCTAAAATGCAGCATCACATGTGTCTCTCCCTGTTAAAGCCCATTGACAGATCTACTTGACCTACAGGAAAAAAGGTGAAAGACTTGTGAGGTTCATAAGGGCCTTCATAATAAGACCTAAACTTACCTCTAGCCTGTCTACTCTTTCTCATCATAGGATCAAATCACACAGAACTATTATAGATTTCCAAATGGGCAAGCTTTCTCAAGTATCTTAATCTTTATAATGTTTATTTATATCTTTCTTTTACCTGAAATGATAATTATCCCTTTGTTTGGAAGTTTCTTTTTTTTTTTTTTTTTCAAGATTCAGCATAGATCTCTCTGTGTATGAAATCCTTCCAGATTACTTACATATCTATATATATCTATACCTATCTATCTATCTATCTATATAAAATAGATAAATAAAGGGCCATCTACAACTAAAATTATTTATGTGTGGTGCTGAGAATTGAACCCAGTGCCTCACATATGCCAGGCAAGTGCTCTGCCACTGAGCCCCAGCCCCAGATTACTTCTTGACCCAGATTAATGCCTTCCTCTTTCATTTCCCCACTGCATCTATAAAAAACTCTTAATTACCAAGAATTTAATGATATTGAAAATGGAAATGCATTTTTATTCCATTTTCCACTGTTTATTAAAAGTACAGGGAAATACTATTGATTTATGCATATTAACCCTGTATCCTATGATCCTGTTAAATTCATGTACAAGTTTGAGTAAACTTTTTGGGTGGATTCTATAGGGCTTTTTGTATAAACAATAAGATTATATGCAAATAAGTGTTACTTCTTCCTTTCCTATCTGTATGTGCTCTCTCCCCCTTTCCTTCTTGCAATGGCTAAGGCATTTGGTTTACATTGAAACAGAAGTATTAAGAGAGGGCACTTTTGCTTTGTTCTTGAACTTAGAAGAATTTCAGACTTTCATCATTAGGTATAATGTTAGCTGTGGGGTTTTCAGATGCTCTTCATCAGTTTGAGAAACTTCTAATTATCAAGTTTTAACTGGAGATGGCTATAATGTTTTGTCAAATGCTTTTTCTCATCATGATTTTTCATTTTGTTATCCAAATTATATTGATCTGTATCAAAAATTATATTAATTTTCTAATGTTCAATTAACCTTGGAATCCTGAGAAAACTCCCATGGTCATGATGTATTATTCCTTTTCCATGATTGGGATTTAATGTATCAATACTGTAAGAAGTTTTGAATGTTTATGGGCAATATTTGTAGTTTTCTATCCTTAAAATTTCTTTTCTTTTTTAAAAAAATATTTTTTAGTTGTAGTTGGACACAATACCCTTATTTTATTCATTTATTTTTATGTGGTGCTGAGGATTGAACCCAGGGTCTCGCATGTGCGAGGCGAGCGCTCTACTGCTGAGCCACAACCCCAGCCCCCTTATAATTTCTTTTTCTGGTATTGGAATAAAACTGGCCTCATAAAATGTCTTGAGAACTATTCCCACCACTTCTTTTAAGGCTGTTTAAGAATGGTACCATCTCTGTCTTCAATGTCTGATAGCATTCACCAGTGAAGCTATCAGTACCTGGATTTTGCTTTGTAGGGAGGTTATGAATTTAGATTTCTTTAGTAGTCATAGGGCTAAAATTTTCTATTCCTCCTTAAATCTGTGACTTGTGTTTTACCAAGAATTTGTCAATTTCATTTAAATTGTCAAATTTATTGAAATAAAACTACAATTGTCCCTTATCATTTTAAAATTCTATATAAAGTATAGAATAAAAAACAATTCCTGGTTTTTATTCCCAATATTGGTAACCTGTATCTTCTATATTATTTGTCCCTGATTAGCATAGCTAGGAGTTTATTGGTTTTAATGATCTCTTCAAAGAACCAGATTTTTCATTTGTTTCTTATTTGCTATCTTTATTATTCCCTCCTTCTATTTACTTTGGACTTAATTTGCTCTTTTTTCTAGCTTCCTAATGTGGACACTTATAGCATGATTTTAAGCCATTTTCTTTTTCCAGCATTAGCATTTAAAAATTTCACTTTAAATACTGTTTATTCTTCATTACATAATTTTAAGTATAGTCATTTTATTATCAAAGTTACTTTCATTGTGATCAGAAAACATACTCTGTATGATTTTAATGTTGGTTGGTTGGTTGGTTTTGGTAGCAGGGACTGAACCCAAGGATACTTAACCACTGAGCCATACCCCCAGTCCTTTTTAATTTTTTTAAGACAGGGCCTCACCAAATTGCTTAGAGCCTTGCTAAATTACTGAGGCGGGCTTTGAGCTTGCAGTCTTCCTGTTTTGTAATCCCGGGCTGCTGGGATTATAAACGTGTACCACCATAGTGAGACTTCTCCATAACACATGGTCCCACCTTGGTTAATATTCTTTGTGTACTTGGGGAAAAAAGTGTATTCTATCCTTGTTGGTCTTACTTCCAAATACCAATTAATCTGAAAAACACTGTCAACTACCATGGTAGTTGACAGTGTTTTTCAGATCTTCAGCTTCTTTAATTTTGGGGAGATCCAGTTGTGCTATTTCCAACAATGATTGTGGCTTTATTTCCCCTTTTGGTTTTGTTTCATGTCATTACCCTAGGTACATATATGTCTTCACATATGGGGTGACACTTCATTGTGTACAACTAGAGAAGTAAAAAGTTGTACTCCATTTGTGTACAATGAATCAAAATGCATTCTACTGTTCTATATACCTAATTAGAATAAATAAATGTGAAAAAATTGTTCTTGGAATTATAGTTTATGTTTAGAAAAAATACTGAGTTCAGATAAAAAGACAAGAACCTTACAAAATGTTCCATTTACCCATGCCTCATCCTATATTTTTGTCGTACATGCTTTATATACTCTTATGTCTGTATTACATCCATATAAATTGTCAACTTCAATAAGTATTACTGCTGAGCATGGTGGTGAATGCCTGTAATCCCAGTGACCTGGAAGGCTGAGGCAGGAGGATATAAGGCCAGTACTCAATAACTTAGTGAGACACTCAGAAACTTTGTAAGAACTTGCCTCAAAAATAAAATAGAGCTGGGGATGTAGCTCAGTTGTAAAATGTCCCTGGGTTCATACTCAAAGTACCAAGAATAAATTTGGGGGCAGGTACTGAGGATTCAACTCAGGGGCATTTGGCCACTGAGCCACATCGTCCCAGCCCTATTTTGTATTTTATTTGAGACAGGGTCTCACTGAATTGGCTTAATGCCTCACTTTTTGCTGAGGTTGGCTTTGAA